GAAAATGTATTTCAGAAAATGTAGAAAAAAATATCACTAGCCGGAATGTAATTCGCATGAAGGGAGACAGTATGAGGAAACCGCCAGACAGCTCTTGCGCTACATTTCACTAGACACCAATCTGTTTAAATACTTAACGGAGGATGAGCACTGAACTACTCCAGTTATATTTAGATTTCAGGCTCTTTACTCACGCATCATAGTAAATGTAAAATGTTTAAAAACCACGACCGCGGATGACCACGTACTGGTCAGATCAGAGATGTTAGAGAAAGTTTATTAAAATATCCAGAATCGCAGCCTCCTAAGGCTGAATTGTATTAAATTTACAAAAAGTTAAAGTCGTATACACATTTATAAAATAGTAACTTCGTAAAATATAAAATTATTATAGAAAAAAATAAACTACGCATTAAAGTTATATTAATTTGACATGGATGGAATAAATGTGTTCGTGTAACGACTAGTGCGCATTTTTCGCAACATAAAAGTGCGCTGGCTGGGCTAAAATTGCATTTTCGAATGTCCTTAAGTGATAGCAGATGATGGAGTCATATTGATATTGAAAGATTCAATATTTTTTGTGAACACAATTCTTTTTTTATCATACTCACAGCTCTTTCAAATTAGTCAAATCTTTGAAAACGTGTTTAGGAAGCTTTCTGATTCCGTTGTTTTGTAGCCATCTGATAAAAAGAATAATACGGCAATGATAGGTAAATGTTTTCACATCTTCCAAGTATTATGAGTTTTCCAAACTAACTTCAGAAACAGAATACTGATAAACATCCTGATATTTTTAAAGCTGATTTCTGATAGTTTCGATAAGTCGGGTTCTTATTATTTCGTTAAGTTACTGGAACATCCTTACTGCGCATTATTTTGCTCATTCATCCAACAAACATATACTAACTCGGGTATAAAATTATGATCTCTTACAACAACATTTTTTCCTTTCTTTCTCAGTAACTTATTATTTTTTCTACCTTCAATCAGCAGGTGTCCGATTTGTCACACAGATAATTTTACCTATTTCCATTTTGTATTTTGAAAATTTTCTTTTCTTTACTCACAGGCGTGTCAATGCTCTTAAACCATCAAACAAACCCTCTTGTAACTCTGTTAGGTTGTTGTCGTTAAGTTGTCTGTAGAGGAGAAGAGTTAAAAAGTGTTACAATTACATTTTTTGAAATTTGTCAGAAAATACCTCTTTTGGACCAATAGGCTTTATGAAGCTCAAAATGTTGGAACTAACAACTACTGAGTTCGAAAGTAATTTATTCAGCTTTAATACGACCCTCGTTTTAATTTGCGACTCAAAACAGATTCGTACGAGGCTTGGCTTTTGAGGTACCTGATCTTGTTACCAAGATCTTGTGTATTGTTAGATTTAGACGTTATGTCTTTGATCATTGATTGAGAGCGTTCTTTATCGGTCTGAGTGCTACGCAGATATTTAAGGGTTGAAGGATGTGAAAAGGAATATGCACTATTCGGGTAATGATGTGAATTGTGACACTTGTAATAGGTGATATGCGAGGACCACTTGTCACTTACAGCCATTGCAGCTTTATTAACTGGGAGAATGCATTGTTGGTCAAATTCTTGATCTTGTTGCCGTATAACCAACTGTAAGGTAAGAAAGCTTTGTTTTAACAGTCCTTGGCAAAGTATAAAACTTGCTCGCGTGCATTTGACTGTGGTATTGGTGTGAAAAGAAATGCGAAGTACAAAGCCTGTTCTGAGAGAGAACACTTGAAATCTCCTTTTCATACTGGCAAATAAAACAAAGTTATAAAATGAATAGAAAATGGAATTTACTAAACGTGCAACAACGTCAGATGCTAGGATATGATGATTTATGAAACTGAAAGGATTGTGTAATTGGGATAAGTTACTCCTTTCTGCGTAACTCCGTCCACCTATGAGCCGTCCCACTCTTTTTCACCCTTTAAATGGCTGACTACATCCACTAAGCTTCAGCACCTTCTTGATCACATTTAGCCAAGAATGAGACTAAAATCGTGGCCCATCAAAGGCTATCATAAGAAGACCCAAGAAAATCGATTACGTACAGTGCGGTCAACTCGGTGTTGTCATTGAAGACTCCAGGTGGCAGCTCCTTTATCTGGTTGTTACCCAATTCCCTAAGTGAAGATATTCCCTGATTTCAGTTAAAAGTGTTACTTTTTAGAAATTGTTACTATCGCAGGTTTTTTATTTCATTTTTTCTGTTGGATTGACAGTTTTATTTGTGTCGTGCCCGGATCAAACACACGCTTATGCTACAACCCTGATGTATTTGTTATATTTTGATATCTATCAACACTCTTAGCATAAGGCGCTTTTAGAACTCATCGATTACTAAACAAAGAGCGAAAAATATTACGTAGAAATGTTTAGTGCAACAATTCTTATCCTGTCGAGTGAAAAATAAATAGTTTTTGAACACTAAAGAAGTGAGCAGCTCTCTGCGAACAGTAGTTGTAAAACTTCTTTATTCTTCGACGCGTTTCGTCTTACTTTCATAGACTTCTTTAGAGAGATTTGCGAGTCAATGCTGAAAGCTTGTATTTATAAGTCATACTATGGCTATTACAAGGGAAATTGGTCATATAGGCTCGGCCGGACTCACGAACAGAAACAGGCGAAGTTGTGGAAAAATTTTAAAATTTACAGAGATGAGGTGAGAAAGTAATTGGAGGCCAACATTGAGACGAAACGCGTCGCAGAATAAACAAGTTTTACAACTGCTGTTCGCAGAGAGCTGCTCACTAGTTTAGTTTTTGAAAATTTGTTTTCAAACTTTTTGGAAATTTGTTTTTTGGAATTTATAAAAAAGTTAAAAATTGGATTTGAACTTGATAGTTCGGCATCTGAACCGATGGATTGTGAGCTGCGATATTGGATTTTTATTCCACCTGTTTGTACTTCGATGTTATATTCGACCACTGCTTTACTGCTACATGTTACAGCCCTTTGGATTGCATTTCGACTACCTTTAGGATGAGGAGAGCATGCAGCGTAGAAGATTTTGGAGTAACGCCAAATTGGCTCGAATCGATCTTCTCAGGGTGGCTAGGCCTTCGTAGATACTTGCTCGACCAGCTTTGAAAGAGCAAGGGTTACCGAAATTGGTCTTACATGCTCGGTAGTAACAGTGGCTAGTTTCTCCTAAAGCATGGACTACATCAGCACAGGAAGTCGATGAAAGTCGGGATCAGCAGATTTTAAGTCCGACGCTGTCACCGTTCGGTTACGCTGCCCTCTGTGATGTTAATATAATACAATCACTCTGAATTATAATTCTTTTAAGCGACTCGAAGTCGGCCCATCATGTGCTTTTATGAAATCAGTGTACATTCAGTTATAATCCACCAAAAACTTTTGCTCGCGCGCGTTTTGTGCAGACGTAACCTCCTTGAAACTTGCGGGGATTTCTTTTCGAATACTTTTCCCCTTTAAAGGAGGAGAACATTAATATTGAAAGAGTCAATATTTTTTGTAAACATAACTCTTCTTCATCATATTCACAGCTCTTTCAAATTAGTCAAAGCTTTGAAAACGTGTTTAGGAAGCTTCCTGATTCCGTTGTCTTGCAGCCAAGTTAAAATAATACGGCAATGATAGGTAAATCTTTTCACATCTTCCAATTATGATGAGTTTTCCGAAATAAATTTAGAAACACAATACTGGTAAACATCCTGAATTTGTTTTGAAGTTTATTTCTGATAGTTATGATAGGTCTGGCTCTTATTATTTTGTTAGGTTACTGGAACGTGCATCATCGCTGTGCATTACTTTGCTCATTCATCCAACAAACACTTAATAACTAAGGTATGAAATTATAATCTCCTACAGCAACATTTTTGCATGTTTTCTTTCTTTCTCAGTAACTTATTATTTTTTCCACCTTCAATCTGCAGGTGTCCGATTTGTCACACGAATAATTTAACTGTTTCCATTTTGTATCTTGAAATTTTTCTTTTCTTACTCACAGGTGTGTCAATGCTCTTAAACCATCAAACAAACCATCTTGTAGCTCAGTTAGGTCGTTGTCATTAAGTACTCTGTATGAGGAGAAAAGTTAAAAAAGTGGTACAATTACTTCAGTTCAAATTTGCTTGAAAAGACATTATTTGGACCGATAGGCTCTCCACAGCTAAAATTTTGGAACCAACAATTTCTAAGTTCGAAAGTCATTGATTCGGCTGTAATACGACCCTTGTTTTAATTTGCGACTCAAAACAGATTCTTACGAGGCATGGCTTTTGAGGTACCTGATCTTGTTACCAAGATCTTGTGTATTGTTAGATTTAGACGTTATGTCTTTGGTCATTGATTGAGAGCGTTCTTTATCGGTCTGAGTGCTACGCAGATATTTAAGGGTTGAAGGATGTGAAAAGGAATATGCACTATTCGGATAATGATGTGAGTTGTGACACTTGTAATAGGTGATATGCGAGGACCACTTGTCACTTACAGCCATTGCAGCTTTATTAACTGGGAGAATGCATTGTTGGTCAAATTCTTGATCTTGTTGCCGTATAACCAACTGTAAGGTAAGAAAGCTTTGTTTTAACAGTCCTTGGCAAAGTATAAATCTTGCTCGCTTGCATTTGACTGTGGTATTGGTGTGAAAAGAAATGCGAAGTACAAAGCCTGTTCTGAGAGAGAACACTTGAAATCTCCTTTTCATACTGGCAAATAAAACAAAGTTATAAAATGAATAGAAAATGGAATTTACTAAATGTCAACCAACGTCAGAAGCTAGGAGATGATGATTTATGAAACTGAAAGGATTGTGTAATTGGGGTAGGTTACTCCTTTCTGCGTAACTCCGTCCACCTATGAGCCGTCCCACTCTTTTTCACCCTTTAAATGGCTGACTACATCCACTAAGCTTCAGCACCTTCTTGATCACATTTAGCCAAGAATGAGACTAAAATCGTGGCCCATCAAAGGCTATCATAAGAAGACCCAAGAAAATCGATTACGTACAGTTTGGTCAACTCGGTGTTGTTATTGAAGACTCCAGGTGGCAGCTCCTTTATCTGGTTGTTACCCAATTCCCTAAGTGAAGATATTCCCTGATTTCAGTTAAAAGTGTTACTTTTTAGAAATTGTTGCTATCGCAGGTTTTTTACTTCATTTTTTCTGTTGGATTGACAGTTTTATTTGTGTCGTGCCCGGATCAAACACACGCTTATGCTACAACCCTGATGTATTTGTTATATTTTGATATCTATCAATACTCTTAGCATAAGGCGCTTTTAGAACTCATCGATTACTAAACAAAGAGCGAAAAATATTACGTAGAAATGTTTAGTGCAACAATTCTTATCCTGTCGAGTGAAAAATAAATAGTTTTTGAATACCTAAGTAGTGAGCAGCTCTCTGCGAACAGTAGTTGTAAAACTTCTTTATTCTTCGACGCGTTTCGTCTTACTTTCATAGACTTCTTTAGAGAGATTTGCGAGTCAATGCTGAAAGCTTGTATTTATAAGTCATACTATGGCTATTACAAGGGAAATTGGTCATATAGGCTCGGCCAGACTCACGAACAGAAACAGGCAAAGTTGTGGAAAAATTTAAAAATTTTCAGAGGTGAGGTGAGAAAGTAATTGGAGGCCAACACTTAGACGAAACGCGTCGCAGAGTAAACAAGTTTTACAACTGCTTTTCGCAGAGAGCTGCTCACTAGTTTAGTTTTTGAAAATTTGTTTTCAAACTTTTTGGAAATTTGTTTTTTGGAATTTATAAAAAAAAAGTTAAAAAATTGGATTTGAACTTGATAGTTCGGCATCTGAACCGATAGATACATCATCATGTAACATCTCAAACTTATTGTCTTATTGTAAATAAGCAGGTAAATCTTGTTCCTCTGCAATATAATGGGACATTAAAACTAAGCTATTCGCATTTCTGGTAAAATTTAGGACCATTATTTGGCAGTAACAGAAAAATTTTTTACCTTCGAAACAATTTGTCACTGTAACAAAATTGATATCTTTGGAAACGAGATTGAAACCAGGATTTGTTAAATTGTGAGCTGCGATATTGGATTTGTATTCCACCTGTTTATACTTCGATGTTATATTCGACCACTGCTTTACTGCTACATGTTACAACCCTTTGGATTGCATTTCGACTACCTTTAGGATGACGAGAGCATGCAGCGTAGAAGATTTTGGAGTAACGCCAAATTGGCTCGAATCGATCTTCTCAGGGTGGCTAGGCCTTCGTAGATACTTGCTCGGCCAGCTTTGATAGAGCAAGGGTTACCGAAATTGGTCTTACAAGCTCGGTAGTAACAGTGGCTGGTTTTTCCTTAAGCATTGGGACTACATCAGCACAGGAAGTCGATGAAAGTCGGGATCAGCAGATTTTAAGTCCGACGCTGTCACCGTTCGGTTACGCTGCCCTCCGTGATGTTAATATAATACAATCACTCTGAATTATAATTCTTTTAAGCGACTCGAAGTCGGCCCATCATGTGCTTTTATGAAAAAAAATGTGCAGGCGTAACCTCCTTGAAACTTGCGGGGATTTCTTTTCGAATACTTTTCCCCTTTAAAGGAGGAGAACATTAATATTGAAAGAGTCAATATTTTTTGTAAAGATAACTCTTCTTTATCATATTCACAGCTCTTTCAAATTAGTCAAAGCTTTGAAAACGTGTTTAGGAAGCTTCCCGATTCCGTTGTCTTGCAGCCATCTGGTAAAAGTTAGAATAATACGGCAATGATAGGTAAATCTTTTCACATCTTCCAATTATGATGAGTTTTCCGAACTAAATTCAGAAACACAATACTGGTAAACATCCTGAATTTGTTTTGAAGTTTATTTCTGATAGTTTTGATAGGTGTGGCTCTTATTATTTTGTTAGGTTACTGGAACGTGCATCATCGCTGTGCATTACTTTGCTCATTCATCCAACAAACACTTAATAACTAAGGTATGAAATTATAATCTCCTACAGCAACATTTTTGCATGTTTTCTTTCTTTCTCAGTAACTTATTATTTTTTCCTCCTTCAATCTGCAGGTGTCCGATTTGTCACACGAATAATTTAACTGTTTCCATTTTGTATCTTGAAATTTTTCTTTTCTTACTCACAGGTCTGTCAATGCTCTTAAACCATCAAACAAACCCTCTTGTAGCTCAGTTAGGTCGTTGTCATTAAGAAGTCTGTAGGAGGAGAGAAGTTAAAAAAGTGGTACAATTACTTCAGTTCAAATTTGCTTGAAAAGACATTATTTGGACCGATAGGCTCTCCACAGCTAAAATTTTGGAACCAACAATTTCTAAGTTCGAAAGTCATTGATTCGGCTGTAATACGACCCTTGTTTTAATTTGCGACTCAAAACAGATTCGTACTAGGCTTGGCTTTTGAGGTACCTGATCTTGTTGCCAAGATCTTGTGTATTGTTAGATTTAGACGTTATGTCTTTGATCATTGATTGAGAGCGTTCTTTATCGGTCTGAGTGCTACGCAGATATTTAAGGGTTGAAGGATGTGAAAAGGAATATGCACTATTCGGATAATGATGTGAGTTGTGATACTTGTAATAGGTGATATGCGAGGACCACTTGTCACTTACAGCCATTGCAGCTTTATTAACTGGGAGAATGCATTGTTGGTCAAATTCTTGATCTTGTTGCCGTATAACCAGCTGTAAGGTAAGAAAGCTTTGTTTTAACAGTCCTTGGCAAAGTATAAATCTTGCTTGCGTGCATTTGACTGTGGTATTGGTGTGAAAAGAAATGCGAAGTACAAAGCCTGTTCTGAGAGAGAACACTTGAAATCTCCTTTTCATACTGGCAAATAAAACAAAGTTATAAAATGAATAGAAAATGGAATTTACTAAACGTCAACCAACGTCAGAAGCTAGGATATGATGATTTATGAAACTGAAAGGATTGTGTAATTGGGGTAGGTTACTCCTTTCTGCGTAACTCCGTCCACCTATGAGCCGTCCCACTCTTTTTCACCCTTTAAATGGCTGACTACATCCACTAAGCTTCAGCACCTTCTTGATCACATTTAGCCAACAATGAGGCTAAAATCTTGGCCCATCAAAGGCTATCATAAGAAGACCCAAGAAAATCGATTACGTACAGTGCGGTCAACTCGGTGTTGTTATTGAAGACTCCAGGTGGCAGCTCCTTTATCTGGTTGTTACCCAATTCCCTAAGTGAAGATATTCCCTGATTTCAGTTAAAAGTGTTACTTTTTAGAAATTGTTACTATCGCAGGTTTTTTATTTCATTTTTTCTGTTGGATTGACAGTTTTATTTGTGTCGTGCCCGGATCAAACACACGCTTATGCTACAACCCTGATGTATTTGTTATATTTTGATATCTATCAACACTCTTAGCACAAGGCGCTTTTAGAACTCATCGATTACTAAACAAAGAGCGAAAAATATTACGTAGAAATGTTTAGTGTAACAATTCTTATCCTGTCGAGTGAAAAATAAATAGTTTTTGAACACTAAAGTAGTGAGCAGCTCTCTGCGAACAGTAGTTGTAAAACTTCTTTATTCTTCGACGCGTTTCGTCTTACTGTCATAGACTTCTTTAGAGAGATTTGCGAGTCAATGCTGAAAGCTTGTATTTATAAGTCATACTATAGCTATTACAAGGGAAATTGGTCATATAGGCTCGGCCGGACTCACGAACAGAAACAGGCGAAGTTGTGGAAAAATTTTAAAATTTACAAGGATGAGGTGAGAAAGTAATTGGAGGCCAACATTCAGACGAAACGCGTCGCAGAATAAACAAGTTTTACAACTGCTGTTCGCAGGGAGCTGCTCACTAGTTTAGTTTTTGAAAATTTGTTTTCAAACTTTTTGGAAATTTGTTTTTTGGAATTTATAAAAAAAAGTTAAAAAATTGGATTTGAACTTGATAGTTCGGCATCTGAACCGATGGATTGTGAGCTGCGATATTGGATTTTTATTCCACCTGTTTGTACTTCGATGTTATATTCGACCACTGCTTTACTGCTACATGTTACAGCCCTTTGGATTGCATTTCGACTACCTTTAGGATGAGGAGAGCATGCAGCGTAGAAGATTTTGGAGTAACGCCAAATTGGCTCGGATCGATCTTCTCAGGGTGGCTAGGCCTTCGTAGATACTTGCTCGACCAGCTTTGATAGAGCAAGGGTTACCGAAATTGGTCTTACATGCTCGGTAGTAACAGTGGCTAGTTTCTCCTTAAGCATTGGGACTACATCAGCACAGGAAGTCGATGAAAGTCGGGATCAGCAGATTTTAAGTCCGACGCTGTCACCGTTCGGTTACGCTGCCCTCTGTGATGTTAATATAATACAATCACTCTGAATTATAATTCTTTTAAGCGACTCGAAGTCGGCCCATCATGTGCTTTTTATGAAATCAGTGTACATTCAGTTATAATCCACCAAAAACTTTTTGCTCGCGCGCGTTTTTGTGCAGACGTAACCTCCTTGAAACTTGCGGGGATTTCTTTTCGAATACTTTTCCCCTTTAAAGGAGGAGAACATTAATATTGAAAGAGTCAATATTTTTGTAAACATAACTCTTCTTCATCATATTCACAGCTCTTTCAAATTAGTCAAAGCTTTGAAAACGTGTTTAGGAAGCTTCCTGATTCCGTTGTCTTGCAGCCAAGTTAAAATAATACGGCAATGATAGGTAAATCTTTTCACATCTTCCAATTATGATGAGTTTTCCGAAATAAATTTAGAAACACAATACTGGTAAACATCCTGAATTTGTTTTGAAGTTTATTTCTGATAGTTTTGATAGGTCTGGCCCTTATTGTTTTGTTAGGTTACTGGAACATGCATCATCGCTGTGCATTACTTTGCTCATTCATCCAATACACTTTTAATAACTAAGGTATGAAATTATGATCTCCTACAGCAACATTTTTGCATGTTTTCTTTCTTTCTCAGTAACTTATTATTTTTTCCACCTTCAATCTGCAGGTGTCCGATTTGTCACACGAATAATTTAACTGTTTCCATTTTGTATCTTGAAATTTTTTTTTTCTTACTCACAGGTCTGTCAATGCTCTTAAACCATCAAACAAACCATCTTGTAGCTCAGTTAGGTCGTTGTCATTAAGTACTCTGTAGGAGGAGAAAAGTTAAAAAAGTGGTACAATTACTTCAGTTCAAATTTGCTTGAAAAGACATTATTTGGACCGATAGGCTCTCCACAGCTAAAATTTTGGAACCAACAATTTCTAAGTTCGAAAGTCATTGATTCGGCTGTAATACGACCCTTGTTTTAATTTGCGACTCAAAACAGATTCGTACTAGGCTTGGCTTTTGAGGTACCTGATCTTGTTGCCAAGATCTTGTGTATTGTTAGATTTTAGACGTTATGTCTTTGATCATTGATTGAGGGCGTTCTTTATCGGTCTGAGTGCTACGCAGATATTTAGGGGTTGAAGGATGTGAAAAGGAATATGCACTATTCAGATAATAGGTGATATGCGAGGACCACTTGTCACTTACAGCCATTGCAGCTTTATTAACTGGGAGAATGCACTGTTGGTCAAATTCTTGATCTTGTTGCCGTATAACCAGCTGTAAGGTAAGAAAGCTTTGTTTTAACAGTCCTTGGCAAAGTATAAATCTTGCTTGCGTGCATTTGACTGTGGTATTGGTGTGAAAAGAAATGCGAAGTACAAAGCCTGTTCTGAGAGAGAACACTTGAAATCTCCTTTTCATACTGGCAAATAAAACAAAGTTATAAAATGAATAGAAAATGGAATTTACTAAACGTCAACCAACGTCAGAAGCTAGGATATGATGATTTATGAAACTGAAAGGATTGTGTAATTGGGGTAGGTTACTCCTTTCTGCGTAACTCCGTCCACCTATGAGCCGTCCCACTCTTTTTCACCCTTTAAATGGCTGACTACATCCACTAAGCTTCAGCACCTTCTTGATCACATTTAGCCAACAATGAGACTAAAATCTTGGCCCATCAAAGGCTATCATAAGAAGACCCAAGAAAATCGATTACATACAGTTTGGTCAACTCGGTGTTGTTATTGAAGACTCCAGGTGGCAGCTCCTTTATCTGGTTGTTACCCAATTCCCTAAGTGAAGATATTCCCTGATTTCAGTTAAAAGTGTTACTTTTTAGAAATTGTTACTATCGCAGGTTTTTTATTTCATTTTTTCTGTTGGATTGACAGTTTTATTTGTGTCGTGCCCGGATCAAACACACGCTTATGCTACAACCCTGATGTATTTGTTATATTTTGATATCTATCAACACTCTTAGCACAAGGCGCTTTTAGAACTCATCGATTACCAAACAAAGAGCGAAAAATATTACGTAGAAATGTTTAGTGCAACAATTCTTATCCTGTCGAGTGAAAAATAAATAGTTTTTGAACACTAAACTAGTGAGCAGCTCTCTGCGAACAGTAGTTGTAAAACTTCTTTATTCTTCGACGCGTTTCGTCTTACTTTCATAGACTTCTTTAGAGAGTTTTGCGAGTCAATGCTAAAAGCTTGTATTTATAATTCATACTATGGCTATTACAAGGGAAACTGGTCATATAGGCTCGGCCGGACTCACGAACAGAAACAGGCGAAGTTGTGGAAAAATTAAAAAGTTTTCAGAGGTGAGGTGAGAAAGTAATTGGAGGCCAACACTTAGACGAAACGCGTCGCAGAATAAACAAGTTTTACAACTGCTGTTCGCAGAGAGCTGCTCACTAGTTTAGTTTTTGAAAATTTGTTTTCAAACTTTTTGGAAATTTGTTTTTTGGAATTTATAAAAAGTTTGTATTGCGGCTTGTGTGCTTATGGACTAAGCATGAATATCTTTGTTTTTCTCTCCCTGTTAAATTTGCATCAACGTCCATATGGATGTTGAACTAAATCCTGGACTAACTTCTTCATCTTCAAGATCCAAATGGAAACGGCCCTATCGTGGATGCCGGAGTGGAACGGTCATGGCACGTGAAGCAACGAAGGTTTTTAATATTCAACCCGCCATGACACCTCGTCGTCACCAATTTGCATTTCACTCAGGACGGAATGACAACAATCTTGTTCGTATTCCGCTGATATCAAATCGGCCATTCTGTAGTTCACCTATACGTTTCGGTGTTTGGAATGCTCGCTTACTGAAAACCAAAGTATCGTCGCTATGTGATCTTATGTTATCTCGTCGTCTTCACCTTCTATCTGTGACTGAATCGTGGCTTAATCATCATTAATAAATCATCATCACTGCAGGTTAAACATGGAGCAGTGACCTAGGTAGTAGTACTTTTTAATAATGGATGTTGTTAAAGTGTTGTGATAAGTGCATTTCATTGAAATAATACAGTTTGAATTAACCTGTTATGGCTTACTTACAGGTGAGTCAACTTGGTATTCATGGCGAAGACTCCTGGTGGCAGCTCTTTGATTTGGTTACCAAACAAGTACCTTCGAAAAGGATATACCCTTAATGTAATGTCTATTTTGAGTCAGTTTAACCCATTTTTCCAGATTTAGTCATCACCGCAGGTTAAACATGGAGCATAATGGATGTTGTTAAAGTGTTGTGATAACTGCATTTCATTGAAATAATACAGTTTGAATAATTTCGAATATAAACCTGTTATGGCTTACTTACAGGTGAATCAACTTGGTATTCATGGCGAAGACTCCTGGTGTCAGCTCTTTGATTTGGTTACCATGCAAGTACCTTCGAAAAGGATATACCCTTAATCTAATGTCTATTTTGACTAAGTTTAACCAATTTTTTTAGATTTACTCAATGTTAAAAAAAAATAATCATAACTGCAGGTTAAACATGGAGCAGTGATCTAGATAGTAGTACTTTTTAACAGTGGATGTTGTTAAAGTGTTGTGATAAATGCATTTCATTGAAATAATACAGTTTGAATAAACCTGTTATGGCTTACTTACAGGCGAGTCAACTTGGTATTCATGGCGAAGACTCCTGGTGGCAGCTCTTTGATTTGGTTACCATACAAGTACCTTCGAAAAGGATATACCCTTAATCTAATGTCTATTTTGAGTCAGTTTAACCCATTTTTCCAGATTTAGTCATCACCGCAGGTTAAACATGGAGTAGTAACCTAAGTAGTAGTACTTTTTAATAATGGATGTTGTTAAAGTGTTGTGATAAATGCATTTCATTGAAATAATACAGTTTGAATAATTTCTAATATAAACCTGTTATGGCTTACTTACAGGCGAGTCAACTTGGTATTCATGGCGAAGACTCCTGGTGGCAGCTCTTTGATTTGGTTACCAAACAAGTACCTTTGAAAAGGATATACCCTTAATCTAATGTCTATTTTTAGTCAGTTTAACCCATTTTTCCAGATTTAGTCATCACCGCAGGTTAAACATGAAGCAGTGACCCGGGCAGTAGTACTTTTTAATAATGGATGTTTTTTAGCAATGTGATGGTTCACATCGCCATAACTACTTTGATTCTTGCTGCTTGTTTGTTTTAAGTTCGAAATCTCCTTCCGGTCCCTACTGGTATCATACTGCTAACGTAAAGCACTCCGCCACGTAATGTTGTTAATCCGTTTTGCATGCGGCTAGGTTTATACCCACTTTGCAAGTTGAAGTCATAATACTTTGTGATGGCTTTACAGTTTAATGCGCTACGGAGATTGTGTTGGCTGTTTGCAAAGACGCGTTGTAATAGTTTAAAATATACTAGTAACCAACATTTTCAAATGTGTTTATTACAGGCGAGTCAACTCGGTGTTGTAAGTGAAGACTCCAGGTGGTAGTGCTCTTATGTGATTGCCATCCAAGTCCCTACGACAAGAATACATTTTTTTTGGGTCTTAATAACCCAGATTTTCAGATTCAAACAGTGTTTGAAATGATAAATGCCTTAAGTTAAACATGAAACAGAGACCCAGCCGACAGTGTTGTTTATAAATGAAGATGTTCACGTCACCATAACTATTTTGATTCTTGCCTCTCCTTTTTTTTTTTTGTTTTTGTCAGTCGCACCAGTCCCACAGGTTCCCACCAGTCATGCTAACGTAAGGCAGTCGACCACGTGATGTTTTACCCCAGTTTTGCCAGAAGCTAGATTTTAACTCGGTTTACAGGTTCACGTCATGACGGTTTTATAGTTTTATGTGCCACGCAGAGAGTGAAGGGTTATCAGGGGTCAAAGGGGGAAAGGAGAACGGGATGGACGAACTTTGACCTTACCCGTTCTTGTTCTCCAGGAGTTAAATCTGATGTGCGACGGAGAAAAGAGTAGAATTTATATCTGAACATCATTTAAACAATGTCACTGAACAATTTGTTCGCAAATGACGTCAGTCGAGACGGAATTAGGAACAAACTTGTCCCCAGAGTCCTCTCCTTCAAGAGAATACCTTGGAAACTGCAGCGGATGCTCTCAGAACTAGACCTCTTAATATCAAATTACTTTCGAATGTCTGAGTTTTTTAGCTCTCCTACGTTAAGCACAAACTACGTGCATCTGCATAACTTCTGCATTTAAAAGAACTGATAACAGTTGGAACTGAATATTTATTAAAATTTTGAACCAAGATTTGTTAAATATGTTTGGATTTGGATCCTACCATCATGAACTTCGGTGTTCTACACGCATGTTTGGGTCTGTATTGGTTCCTTAAAAATATTTGTCTTAGAGATGTTAGATGTTATTTACTTACAGCCGAGTCAAATTAATGTTGTTGTTGAAGACGCGTAGTGGTAACTCTGCTATGTGATTGTCATGTAAGAACCTACATAAAGGATATATAGTTGAACCTCTATTAAGCGGCACCGTATAAAGCTGTCACCCTGTATTAAGCGGTCGGTTGTTAAATTCCCGAATTTGTTTTCCATCAATCACTGTAATATTCGCCTCTACTAAGCGGTCGCGGTCACTCTTTACTGAGTCCTAGTGTGTATTGTCATTCACCTGTATTGAACAGTCACTTAAGGGAAACCCCTCAAATAAAACTTAGAAAAATAGTTAATATATGAGGATGACTGTTCACTTCCAGCCACTGCCGCTTGACCAATTGGGAAAATACGTCGCCTGGCAAATTCTTCGACTTGTTACTGTGTAACCATTTGTAAGTTTTGAAGACTTTGCATCACCGATACGTAAGAATGAATAATTCCTATTCGTGTTCGACCGTAAGACTGAATAGAAAATAGGATTTTCAAAACGAGGACCAACGACATATGCTAGGAAATGATCATTGATTAAACTGTCCAAATACAAACCGTTCTACTCTCTTTCATTTTCTTCATGGTTGACTACACCCATTAAACTTGAGGAGCGTCTTGATCATATTAAGTAAACACTGACATTACACTCCTATGACATTGAAGGTTAATATCAAAAATGGGCGTGGATATCTGTTACTTACAGTTCGATCAACTCAGTGTTATTATTGAAGACTCTTGGTGGTAGTTCCATTATCCGGTTGTTATTCAAGGCCCTAAGATTAGATATTCCGTAATTTTATTTAAAATTATATTACCTCTTGTGTGCTGCTGCTGTTGAATACTTTTTTCGTTCGGAATACAATTTATTCGTGCCGTGCCCGAATCAAATGAACGCGTTTAATGTTATTTTGAATGTGATTGAACAAATTGATATATATCAACACTTTAAGTATCGTACAATCTCAGTCCTCAACAATTGAACTTAAAAAACAACAGTAAGCTTACTTGGAAATTTTTTAAGCAAAAGTTCACATTCTATCATGAACAAGTAAAAATACAAGTTAGGCTTATGTTGAGGTTTCTTCAAGTCTGCACAATGCCCTAACGTGAGGATCACTTCACCATGCTACTTTACAAGCGACCCTAATTATATTTTATTTACCTTGTGGTTGAAGACGCTCTTTGAATGTTCGCTTATAATCAACAAATAACGGGACTGAGCACATCACGATAACCGGTTAGGATAAACGTAACCTTTGTCTTTCGTCTGGAAATAGCTATGTTCATTCTTGCTTTGCAACTTAATTAAATGAACTATTCCACTGTCAGTGCCCCTTGTTGAAGGGTTGTACAAAGTGATCATGAGAATGAAGTTTTGCGCCCAAAGCAGCTTCGGCTTGACCAATGACTTTAATAAGTCAACTGGCTTTTAAAGCCACCAACGACCGTCTGTTACTCACCATGAATTGAGCTTGAAGAAACTTTGCCGATGTCTAATAAATGAGGCGAATGTATGGATAATCGATGCAATCTAAGGATTTTAATTTATTACTCACAGGTGAGTTAACTCGGCGTTGTAAGTGAAGACTCCAGGTGGAAGTGCTCCTATTTGGTTGCCATCCAACTCCCTACGAGAAGTATATATTGTTTTTTATCTATTCTGGGCTATTAGGACCCAGATTTCCAGGTTCAAATAGTGTTTAAAATGATATTTTGATATATGATAATAACTTGATATATATGATGATTGCCACTTCTAAGTCTATATATATTCATATATTCGTAGGGAATTAAAGGTCCCTCATGTGTTGCTCTTGATTACTTTTCTGTAGTTTACCCATCTAGGTTTTGTGTGGCATCAGTAAATGTAAGATTTAAGGTTAAGTTGTTATCACCACCATTACTTTGCACTCGAATAGTTACAATATGTCTTTTTATGAGGTTCATCTTAGAGCTTTTTCCTTGTAGTTTAAATTCCTTTAATTCTCCATCTTGGCCCGCCATTCTTTTTCAAAATTCAAAACCGTTATTTGAAGTTAGGTGTTTTTCTTTCGTTCAGTAAAGTGTTAGAGAAAGTGTTTAGATAAAATAGCATTGGAAAGACGATCCTTGATACTAAAATTATACTAGGCAAAAATATGACCTGAAATAGATTTAGATCCCCGATTTTTGTCTCTTTCCGTAGTATGGGTGCAAATATGTAAGCTGTTTGCAAATGAACGTGTAATAAACAAGTAGTCAAAATTTTCAAATGTGATTCTATAAATGTGTTTATTACAGGCAAGTCAACTTGGTGTTGTAGGTGAAGACTCCAGCTGGTAGTGCTCCTATTTGGTTGCCATCCAAGTACCTGCGAGAAGAATACATTGATTTTTATCTTCAGTGAAGTCTATTCTGGGCTACTAAGACCCAGAATTCAGGTTCAAACAGTTAATAGTGTGTTTTTTTTTAAATGAAAATGTTCACATCACCATAACTGTTTTGATTCTTGCCTCTTGTTTGTGTTCAGTCGTACCAGTCCTACAGGTTCCTACCTTTCTTGCTTACCTAAGGCAGTCGACCATGTGATGGTTTACCCCAGTTTTGCCAGGATATAGGTTTCAACTCGGTTTACAGTTTCACGTCATGACGGTTTTATAGTTTTGTGTAACACGCAGATAGTGAATGGTTATCAGGGGTCAAAGAGGGGTAAGGGGAACGGTATGGAAGAACTTAAGACTTGTCTATTTTTGAACCTCGAAAGAGGGATTCCAGGAGCTAAATCTGTTGTGCGACTGAGAAAAGAGTAGACTTAAGTCTGATTACTTTTGTGTAGTTAACACATTTAGATTTTGTGTGGCATCGAAAAATATAGGTTTTAAGACTCAGCTGTTGACACCATTACTTTGCACTCGAATGGTTTTAATAAGTCTTTTGAGGAGGTGATGGGATTGAAAACCTTCTCTACAAATGGTAGGGTTTTGTGCTCTCTAACGTTACTTTAATTGCGTCTCTTTGAACATTCAGTTTTTTGAGCAGCTTACAAGTGAGTGTTGTGATAAATGCAATACATTGAAATAATACAGTTTAAATAATTTCGAATATAAACCTGTTATGGCTTACTTACAGGCGAGTCAACTTGGTATTCATGGCGAAGACTCCTGGTGGCAGCTCTTTGATTTGGTTACCAAACAAGTACCTTCAAAAAGGATATACCCTGAATCTAATGTCTATTTTGAATTAGTTTAACCCATTTATCCAGATTTGGTCAGTGTTAAAAAAAATAACTATCACTGCAGGTTAAGCATGGAGCAGTGACTCGGGCAGTAGCACTTTTTAGTAAAGGATTTTGTGATCGTTCACGCAACTATAACTTTTTTTATACCTGCCGCTCTTTTGTGTTCAGTTCGACATCTCCTATCGGTTTCTATTTGTGTCATGCTGCTAACGTAAAGCATTCCACCACGTGATGTTGTTAACCCATTTTGCATGCGGCTATGTTGACTACACCCACTCAGCTTGAGTACTGTCTTCATCATATTAAGTAAACATTGACATTACACTCGTATCCTATCGAAGGTTAATATCAAAAATAGGTTTTGAAATCACTAAGCTTGAGGAGGATCATATTAAGCAAACACTTATACATTACACACTCTTAGCACATCGAAGGTTAAAATATAGAATGGGCGTGGATATCTGTTACTTACAGTTCGATCAACTTAGTGTTATTACTGAAGACTCCAGGTGTTAGCTCCTTTATCTGATTATAACCCAAGGACCTAAGAAGAGATATTCCATGACTTAAGTTAAAATTATACTACCTCTTGTGCGTTGCTGCTGTTGCGTACTTTTTCCGGTCGGAATACAGTTTATTTGTGCCGTGTCCGGGTGAAACAAACGCTTTTAATATAATCTTGAACGTGATTGAACAAATTGATTGATATCAACATAAGTAAGGTCCAGTCTCAGTCCTCAAGGACTGAACTTAGAAACAACGTTTTCAACGTTTTCGTTGCTGTTTCCTCCATTTTATCATCATTTTTCTGGTAGTTTTGCGTTGGATTAATTTCGTTACTTTGGAAATTTCCGGAGAGAAATTATACATCAGTCAGTTAACATGTTTGCAGTATTAAAAAAACTGATTTCTCTGAATAGCACCGGCCTAAATCTGATGAAAGTTATTACTGCTTAACTCTCAGGGAGAAAAGATGCCGAAAGAATTACTTTTCGTGGGGAAAGTTGACCGACTGAGTTAGTAGTAAACCTAGCTCCTCTCAAGAAGGGTATACCGAATATTTAACTTGTTTCGTTCACGTCCCCGAGGGATATTAGAGACCTTAAGCAGTCAGGACGGCAACACCAAGGAATACTTCGATTAAAAAACAAATTTCTACCTTCAATTAGAATTTCAAAAATGGCTGCATGTGTTTACCGTCTCATGCGGTGTCACACCTCAACTTCAGCATAACGTATAAAAGAAGCGTTGAGTTCCAAATAGAACTAGAAACAATTTGCCGTCGCGGTTTTGGCTCGCAGACGACGCAAATTGTGGTGATTTCACGTTGTTGTTTTGCATAGGACGGCTAAGAAATGTCAATTTCTTAAAAGGCACGTGCTGAGCTATTGTTTTTCCATGTCCCCGTTGCCGTCGCCGTCGCCGTCACCGTCGTGGTTTGCTTATCGTCTCTATTAAAGTGGTGGGACCTTATCCAGTCGCTGACAAATATATATTATGGTAGTCTAGAATATGAACTAAGAGGTAAGGTTCCTCTCTCAACACGATTGTGGCTGGACTCATTAGTAGCGTACAATAGTATTTGAGTATTTGAGAATTAACAAGGATTTGGAGAAGGATATGACAGTAAAAATATGTAGGTTGACTATGAACTTTTAGTCTTCCTACTCACAAGTTGAGCAACTTGTTGTTGTTACTGAAGACTCCCGCTGGTAGCTCCTCTATCCGGTTCCCTCTTAAGCTCCTACAAAAAGGATACATGATGGATTTTAGTTGGGCATTTTTGAAATGCCCTCCCGTCAGATAACGAAAACCATTCGGTTAGAAAACCTTTCCTCACAAAGTTAGTAAATGACACAACTCTACGCAAATGGCGGTTGAATCGTGGCTGGACTTTATTTGTTTCGTTCACGTCGCCGAGGGATGATACGGACCTTTAGCAGTTAGGACGGCAACTCCAAGGAAGACGTCGATTTAAAAATCAATACATATTTTTAATTGCAATCTAGCGAATTAATGGATGTGTTAACCATCTCTTACGGCACCGCAAGTTAACCTCAGCATGACCTAAAAGAGCGGCGTTGAGTTCCAAATGGAAGCTTAAATATCTTGCCGGCGGGGTTTTCCTTTCTCGGACCACGCAAAATGTTAATGATTTCACGTTGTAATGAGCAGTCAGGACGGCAATGTCAAGGAAGATTTCGATTAAAAGATGAATTTCTGCCTTAAATTAGAATTTAAAAATGGCTGCATTTGTATACCGTCTCATACGGTACCACACCTCAACTTCAGCATAACGTATGAAAGAAACGTTGAGTTCCAAATGGAAATTAAAATAACTTTCCGTCGTGGTTTCGGTTCACAGACGACGCAAATTGTGATGATTTCACGTTGTTGCTTTGCATAGGACGGCTAAGAAAATGTGCACAGTTTTAAAACGCACGTGCTGAGCTATTGTTCTGCACGTTACATCTTTTTTTTTTTGCCACGTCCTCGTTGCCATCGGAGTCGTGGTTTGCTAAAGGTCCCTATTGAGGCGGTGGAACCTTCTCCAGTAGCTGACAAATATATATTGTGGTACTCTAGAAAATGAACTAAAAGGTAAGGTTCCTCTCTCAACACGATCGTGGCTGGACTCATCAGTAGCGTACAATAGTATTGAGTATTTAGAATTAACAAGAATTTGGAGAAGGATATGATAATAAAAATATGTAGGTCGACTATGAACTTTTAGTCTTCCTACTCACAGGTTGAGCAACTTGTTGTTGTTACTGAAGACTCCCGCTGGTAGCACCTCTATCTGGTTCCTTTCTAAGCTCCTACAAAAGGATACATCATGGATTTTAGTTGGGCATTTTTGTATTAAAAATGTCTCAAACCATCACATCAAGGCTAAGATTTAATAGAGAAAAATTCCAGCCCCCTTCGAGCACTGGCCATACAGGAAATCTTCCATATGCAAATAAAACAAATAAACTCAGAAAAATAGAATATATAGTCGTAAAAGCTAAGACCAACAACCTAACTTGGTGGTTTTGTTTGAAAATTGCAGTGTTTTGGTTGGCTACATACACTACGGGTTACGTATTTAATAATTCTTAGCACATCAAGCACCAATAGAAAGAAAGGCATTAAGATTGGTTACTTACAGTATGACTAACTGCGAGTTGTTATGAAAGACTTTAGGTGGTAGCTCCTCTATTTGGTTGTTGTCTAAGTCCCTAAAATAGGGATATGTCCTGGATTTAGGTTGAACAGTTACTGACATCACCATTTGTAAGCGCTCGTATGGTTTCAATAGAACTTGTTTTGAGGTTGCTACCAATATCGCTGATGTACGAGCGTCGATATTCGGAGAGTTTGAACATGTAAACAATCCGCACACATGTCTATTACTACATGTTGGTGGGTCCTTGTACATTAATCAGTTTGTATTTTACACTATTATCGACATTATTATTCGTTGCGACACGATCACGCAATAGTTAATGTAAAACAACCACTCTTCACTTACAGCCAGTGCATGTTTAGCAATTCGGCAAATGATTTACCAGGCCACTTTTTTTTCTTGTTTCGGCCTAAAAATCTGTAATTCTTAATAAAACTGCGTCATACGATCACATAAGAACGCATAACGTGTTTCAATACTCATAATGCGCAATGGAATCTAGGTAGACATAACCTAGCTCCTCTAGGTAAACCTAGAATATTTACCTCCTCTAGGGAAACCGAATATTTAACAGGCCAAAATTTGACAATAGCGTAAGCCATCAGAACTCAAATATGAAATAACAGAAGCCAAATTTTTAAAAAAGAGTTTGCGAGCGCTAATCAAATTATGATATTCGATACGTTGTTGATGACGTCTTGCGTCACGAGATAATAAAATTTGTCAAATTTTGGCCTTTTAAAATGCTCAAAGTATTAATCGATGTGGTTTTACAGCTCTTTCCTACTATATTTTCTACTTAAAATGGTTAAAATCTAAGATTCATTGAGCTACTCACATAAAACGGTCGGAGTTTGCTCAATGAACTAATTTGCATAATCGGCTGTCACGCTAGCAATATCGCTAAAAGTTCGAAGTCACCTCGGCGAAGAAAATCAATAAGTGCTAGATGTTTTTATATTTTTCTGCAGCCAAACATCTTATTAGCAGAAATCAAGCAGAGTTTTTAATGGTCTGGTCTGGACTTGAGCAATATCAACCAAGAAAGAAAGAGTACTTTTAACCAATCTCAGAAAGCTATCCAACGAGTGTTTTTAAATAAATTATGACGAGCCTCTGAATAAACAAATATCAAAATTGAAATGCATTTTATATACCTTATATATCACACACTTTAAGAATACAAAATATAATAATTTTGCTGCATGCGGTGTGACCGGGCTATTCAACTTTTTAAAATTTCGATATCGCACAAAGTCAAAAAAGGTCCTTTTGCAGCTTTGACTTTTGAGAGCTCTAAAAATTTTATTTTAACGTATTTCCAGAAACTAATGTGGTTTTATTTACTTGTTACCAAAGATAGTTTATTGGGCAAAGTTTGAGGGAAAACTTTTTCCGATGCGAAATGCCCTGGACCGCTTAACTTGTTTCGTACACGTCGCCGAGGGATATTAAAGTGATGGAACCTTCTCCAGTCGCTGACATATATATATTATGGTACTCAATAATATGAACTGAAAGGTAAGGTCCCTCTCTTAACACGATTGTGGCTGGACTCATTAGTAGCGTACAATAGTATTTGAGTATTTGAGAATTAAAGAGGATTTGGAGAAGGATATGACAGTAAAAATATGTAGGTAGACTATGAACTTTTAGTCTTCCTACTCACAAGTTGAGCAACTTGTTGTTGTTACTGAAAACTCCCGCTTGTAGCTCCTCTATCTGGTTCCCTGCTAAGCTCCTACAAAAAGGATATATCATGGATTTTAGCTAGGCATTTTTGAAATGCCCTCCAGTCAGATAACAAAAACCATTCGGTTAGAAAACCTTTCCTCTCAAAGTTAGTAAATGACATAAATCTACGCAAATGGCAGTTGAATCGAGACCAAACCAATAATACATTAAATGTTTATTGGTTACTGATAACAAGGCCAACTCGGAGTTGTTTTTGAAGACTTCAGCCTGTAGCCTCTCTATCTGGTTTCCATTTAAGATTCTACGACAAGGTTCGCGTTTAATGTAAACTGATTTTTCAACGTTTTCTCGGCTATTTCTGCTATATTTTTCCAATTTTATCTTTACTTTTCAGGTAGTTTTGCGTTTGATTTATTTTGTTGCTTTAGACCTTTTCGAAGAGAACTTGTACATCAGTCAATTAACCAGTTTGCAGTATAAAGAAACACTTTGTCTTACTAGCAGTGGACTAAATCTGATGAAAGTTACTAACTTGCTTAACTCTCAGGGAGAAAAGATGGCAAAAAATTACCTTAACTAGTTTTTTGTGAAAAAAGCTGACTGACTGAGTTCGTAGTTAACAATATGGCTCCCCTGTGATTGGTTTGTGTGCAATGCGGATATGGAAGTGTCTTAGTATCTGCAGGATGGATTCCACATCGTAAACCTAAACATGTAAAATAACCGATATAAGAATGCTACGTTTCACTTACAGCTCTCGCAGCCTGACTAACTGAGAAAATGAGTCACCTTGCAGCTTCTTGATCTTGTTATTTTGTAACCACCTGAAAGTATTAAAACTATTTCAAACCATCACATAAGACAATATCACCCCTGTATCGGTAAACAATGTTAACTCTTAGCACATCAATCGCCAATAGCGACAAAAGTATAACATTAGTATCTTACAGTACGACTAAAGGCGAGTTGTTATGGAAGTCTTCAGGTGATGGCTGCTCTATTTGGTTTTTTTCTTTAAAATGGGGATATTTTTCTAGTGTTAGATTGAACATCTTACGTCTTGTGCATTGCTTTTTATTATTTCCCATCCTCCACACCCCCACCTAGAGAAAGTAGAAGAGTTGAAACGCTTACAATTTCGCTGTAGAAAAGGGTAAGTGCCGTGGAACTGACTGTAAGTGTTTTCCTCGACATTCAATGCAAGTAGCTGCGTCCATGATTCCAACTGCAATTGTACATCGACAGGTATTTGGGCACCCTTGAATAAAGGAAGACGATATGAATGTAATAACGTTTCTTTGTTGTGAGGCTCTTTGGTGGTACTCTCTGAGTGTGTGCATTGGAGTACTCTGAAATGATAGCTGCCATCTAGTTATCTCGTGAACACTTCATACATTGGTTCCTGGTCAATAAAACTATTGCGGCAGTCCTTCAGCTTAAAAGTTTAGAGAGCGTTTAGAGTTGCTCATTTTTTTTGCAATTAGGCAAACTTTGCAAATGTGCAGTATATTTTTCTCTACGCCAGACTGATTTGAGAATCAATTGTTTGTAAATTAATAGTTTAGTTTTATCAACTGAGTTGACAATGAAAATTTTCCACCGTAAAGGGTTTTTAAAGCTGACGTTTGGAGGGTTAGCCCTTCGTCAGGGAGAAAGGTTTCGCTCTGCGAAGAGCAAAACCAAGTCATCTCAGTAATACTCAGTAATACTCCCCACTGAAGAGGCACCACAGTTTCTTTAAAAACTCACCCCACTTAATTCGTTTGTGAAAAAACTCACTTTCAATGACAAGACGGATTTCTTTCTTGTCAAAACCATTCTCTTTCTTCACCTCACAGCTGTACTTGTCATTGTTCTCCTCAGTAATGGTAAGCTGATATTTGACACCTGTACTGTTCTGTACCACAATGCCGTTCTTTCTCCAAACTATAGATGGTGCTGGTGCACCTTGTGCTGGACACCAAAGAGATGAAGTTTGGTTGAAAATAACAAATTGAGTTTTGGCCACCTTGTCTAGGTTGGGTTCAACTGGAAGAAAACAAATAAATGAAATTACCAAATGAGTTGCAGTACTCGTAATTGCCATCTATTCCATCCGTGTTATAACAACTTAGAAACACCTTAGAATTGTTTCAGTTAGTAATTTCAGAGGACAATACCTGTAAAGTTCAGTTTTTTGTTGGTGTACGAGCCCCGAAACCTGCTAAAATTATGGGCTGATTTTCTGATCCACAAGTTCTGTCCTCTGGATCGCACAATAACAGAGATGTTCCTTCCACAAAATACACCAAGAAGATTGGCAGACTTGTTGTATCCATCACGAACCTCAAGGTACTTATCATCAATGCAGGGTGTTAAATATGAACTCTCCATGGTGAAATTCAGTTCCACGTAATGTCCTTTTGGAGCTTGTAAGAGTATACTTGAGTGAAACCATGGGACAACTCTCTGAAGGTGTACTTCCAGTATTAACAAAACTGCAAGTAAAATAAAGAAAAAAAGAAGGGACAAAGATGGCGGCTCCTCGCCTAGGTTTTGAGATATTTCAATTTCAACAAAGCTATTTAGAGATAGTATCTAAAATGGAAGCGGATTTCATATAGCCACAACGGAAAGCCAAACTCGACACGTTTTGATCGAAAGCCATGGCATATGTGTCAAATAGTGTAGAGATTTGTTATGTCTATGAAAACTAGTAAGAAAAAGATACGCGTAAGATTCACATTCAAACTTTTCTTTCGATTTCTCAGTTTGGCGTGAAGATTTGATTAATGTGGTATTTTAATCGCCTTTTTGATAGATTATTTCGTTATAGAACGTAAGTGACGAAACTTTGCGAGCAAGCATTAAAAACAGAGCCGCGGAGCTCATTGGATGACTCATTTACTTATCTAATTTTATAGGTGATCGTTTTGGATGTACACTTTACTTGAAACTTGAACATAGAGAATCATTAGCATGTATTTTCTTGTGTTGAAAATTTTCTCGACACTAATTCAATTTTATCATCACACACGGCTCACCGTCACGGCGCGTACAGTCGTCTCCTCTCGGGGAGTAAAGAGGATCGAATGCGCGAGAGCGACTGAAATCAACTGAGGCGCTGAATCGTCTCGTAATTTAACTCGATTTTCGCAATACCCTCAGGGGTTCTCCGCCGCGTGTCTCTCTCGCTGGACACCATGGAGTTGAAAAGGGTCGAAATATTTTAGCAACACAAAAAATATCGATTTACGATGCGCTGGAATAGGCCTGTATAAGACTTCTGGTCTCTTAACTAGATTCTCGTAAACAAAGACAACGGTGCTTACAGAAAGCAACGGTGAAACCCCAGGAGGTCCTCCTGGGAACCATCTTCCTGTTTTCAGCTGATGGGCTGAGGGAAGTTTAAGAAGATTGATTTGAGTTTAAGAATTTGATCAAATAACGTAAAATTATGGATAATATATTTTCCTCTGGGTTAACCGCCTTGTATGTGGGCCGAATCTCATTACCTTACAGAGCAGTTAAAAACGACAAGATACAGCGATATCATAATTAGCAACAAAAATATTATCTTTTTAAAGAACTGATGTACCTGAATAAGACTTTAGCGGGATCTCCCCTGAATCACATTTTAGTACATTTGATAATAAGAACAATTTGAAGGGTTCCAATGGGGTTGACCGTTTGTCGTAAAATACCAATAGTTAAACCGTTAGGCGCAAAAATTGACAAATTTTAACCGTTAGTTATAAAAATAATAAACTATGAAAATTATTTTAACGACTACAATGGTCATCAGAATAAGCCATCACATTATTGAGACCCTCAATTTATATTACCATATTAAATTGTCTTTCTGCTGGAAAAGAGAGGTTGTAAATAAATTATTGCAAAATTCATTTCTCTTCTACCTTTACAAATACATTTTCTTCAGTGAAATATTTTCCAGAAGTTTCTTTAATTTATTCTTTCTTGTATTTCCGTTCGGTGTGCGCCAGAGGAACGTGTCGCGGTGAACAATTTACTGGATGAAAAAACATGAATATGCTATTATTATCATTATCCCAGCGGAGAAAGTCTAAATAAGAACTGAAAGGAATAAGGGAAAACTGAGTGATCAATTTTCAAATCCCCTATTCTCCCCTATGAAGCTTTGGCGCAGTATTTGACGACAGGGCAGAGTAACTATGAATGTCTTTACCAGCCCTTTCAATAAAAAAATGCTCATTAAAAAATTCCTTTCTGACTTGTTTGAAAATCGAGGAATAATATAATAAAGCTGGGAGAAAGATCTTAAGAATGGATAATAAGAATCATTCTTTCCTGTAGGATTTAAAGAACTGCCCTTAACACAGTTAACTTTGTGTCATAATATACTGATGTTTCATTGTTATCTTTCCTTGTATAGACATTTTAAACATCAAAGAGAATAAATACCTCAAAAATATTTTCTCTGATCCCTTTCTTCGATTCAGATCGAACGGTCTCTAAATAGCAATGAATTCAAATACAGAACGCCATCTGCATACAGCTTTACCAGATCATTACCTAAAGATGAATATTCTTACGAATGCGCTGTCCATTAGTTTCAAGTCACCATTGATGACACTCACAAACATCTGTGCAATACCGTCAGCAATTGTGCCCTTTAGCCAGTTTTGCATTTTTATATAATATAATCGACATGGCGTGAGTCATCAACACATTACCAGCTTTTTAAAGAATCAAATGTTTAGTTTAGAAGACAAAAAGAACAACGTTTTATCCAAAACATTCTAAAATGTAACGTGCCCTAAGCGCTCAAATACTTTTATCCCTCCCTCCCTCCCCTCGGAAGGATAGTTTTCGGAAAGTGGTTTTGTAAGAGATCACAAAATGCGCCTTAAGGCGACAGTGGTGCCGAAACCGGGTATCGACGATTCCCGAAAAAAACTCATAATAACCGGAAGATATGATAACGTTTTTAAACATTTATCTGTAGTATTATTCTATCTTTTTTATCGGACGGCTGCAAGATAACGGAATCAGGAAGCTTGGAACCAGCAACCAGGTGGGTAATCATATAAAAGGACCTCTTGATGCAGCATTTAGATCACCACTAATGAAGGCACTAGACAGGAGTGTCGAAACGTTGGGTCTATGAATTGTAACTTCTTCGGTTACATTCGTTAAAGCTGCGAACCAGAGTAGCATTAAACCATGTCAAAAAAAATTATGTTTACAATTAAAATGCAAAACAATGAAATATTGACTCTTTCAATATCAATGTTCTCCTCCTTTAAATGTAAAAGTATTCGAAAAGAGATCCCGCATGCAAGTTGCAGCGGGGTTGCGTTTGTACAAAACGCGCGCGAGCAAAACTTTTTGATGGATTATAATTGGATGAACACTTATTTCATAAAAAGCACATGATGGGCCTATTTCAAGTCGCTTAAAAAATTATAATTGAGAGCGATTTTATAATATTAACATTAAGTAGGGCAACGTCACCGGACTCAAAATCCGCTGATCGCGAATTCCATCAAATTTCTGTGTCACGCTTGTCACGCAACTGATATAATAAGATAGAGAAGATATATAAACTGGAACTCAAATCTGGCTAGAATCCGGTAGAGCATTATTAACGTGATCATCGAAACAGCTAATGAAATCATAAATAAACAAGGTAAGAGTGTTGTGTTAGACTTTTTTACAAATTGTAGTGATTTATGCCAATTAACGGTGGCGACAAGTAGGCGCACCATATATATTCCATAGTCGCTATGAAGTAAATTTTGCCGGACTTTGAGTTCGTCTCAAGATATAACAACACAAATACACAAGGACATTTTTACAGTAACTTTATAACCATCCTTTGGTCTTTTAAAAGCTTGAAGCTCAGTGGATTCTGTCATATCGGTCATTGTTAAAACTGTCTTTGTTTTGATGTTACTTTTCGACATAGGAAAAGTAAATTCTTTTTTAAACAAAGGGATCCGTGTTTGACAGGCTAACCCAAGACTTCTCACCAGTTTTGGTGATTTGCGTTTGGTGAAGCACACAAAAACACTTCATGTATCACCGCCGGATTCGGATTTTTGATAGTGTTAATTTTTTTTAATTTTCAATTACGTCAAACTTAGTGTTATGCTAACCTCATATCATTATCTACTAACTACTACTTGCAGATTATTATCTCTATTATTAGCTACTAACGTTGATTTGCAGATAGATGCAAACTAACTTAAAGGAGTTAATCGTAACTCGTGAATGAGACAGAAACGTTATCTAAACATTAAGACAAAGAAAAATCTGAACAATGATATTGCAAAGTTGTCAAGCTACTTCGTTGTATTAGCTACATGTCTACTTTTCTCATGATTTTCTTCATTCTCTCCAACTAAAATAATAATTATACTAGAAATATTGAATACTTTATCATCAGTTATTGAATACATGTAGCATTAAATCAATGATAATATGTAAACAGAGGCTATATATGTTGTTGATAAAGATGGTATATTTTTCTTGCAAGGTAGTCCTGCTCTCCCCTGAAGTCTGTTTACGATATATATCCGACACTAAGAGATGCAAAGCAATAAAAGGTTTACTAAGATTTGTGAGCAAATGTAGTTACCATATCGACTGTTCTTTCCTATTTAAAACTTTACCATCTTTTATCATTTTTCTTGCAAGAAAGTACATATTTTTTTTTGACTGGTATGTGGAGAACAAACGTTTTGAAACAGAAGGTCAGTGATATCAAAAAAGATCACATTTGTTAATGAAATTATCAACTTTGCGAGAAATTTTCTCATGTCTGATCTGATCGGAAAAAAGTTGGAAGGTAATCTTGCTTTAAATAAACCTATTGCGTTCAACCAAACTATTATGACTACTGGTGCAAATTTTCATTTTACAGTTAACCCTATGTTAATAATTGTTCATATTGCTCTTTTTGTTGAGTGTTCACGGACTACAGCAAGGGAAATATAACTACATTTAGGTGGTAAATTTATTCCTTAGCCATCAGTTGCGATTAACAGGGCACCTCCCCCTTGCAATTTAAACGTATCGTACAGCGTGCAGGTGTTTAGAATAAACAGTCCTATAAGCTCGACGTATCATCCTGATGACATAAAATTATTGTTATCTATAACAATAAAATAAGTTATAAAGGATTACTAATTACTTATTACAGACTAGTAATAACCACAGGTTAGGAAGTGCGTGCGAGGGCTATGCATGATTTGTTTCACTGAGTTAACGATTTCACTGTAAAACAGTGGCGTTGTGTTCTTTTTCCATTTTGGGCATTTATATTTGCAGCGCAATAAAGGGTTGCATAGTGTGGGTGATTGTTTTCCCATAAACGAGACAAAGGGACCTAAGAGTGGTTTTACTGACCTTGTGAAACAGTAACACCAGTTTGATTATACACCAGTTCTATTTTGTGTTGGGTTTGACAAAATGGTTGTTTTTTCACGTTGTAAATAAAAACACTGTTGATTATAAAATGGACATATTGATTGAGTCAAGGAAGATTTCGATACCCGACAACAACAGACACGAACAGGAAACGTTCCGATCACAAGTTCACACGCTCGATTTTGATTGGACGGCGCGTCAGCTATGCATGAGCTGCACGTGATTCTTCGACGAAATAGACGTCGTCCACGTGATAAAATTGTGTTGTGTGCATTCCAATTTATGGACCGCCACTTCTGCATGAACTGCACGTGATTCTTGACATTCTTAGCTTCAAGAAGGCGAAATTTACATATTATTTGAGCCCTTCAACTACATTAAAGATCATTGACTATGGAACGTGAAACAGCTATGCTTTGGTGAGAATTGTCTTCTGCTTGGTGTTGGTTTCTAGCGGTCAGAGCACCTGTGCTCAAATTACTGCTGCTTCGTGTTTGTCTCGCGTGGTCAAAGCGCCTATGCTCAAATTACGTCCTTTCATTTCATTGGTTCTTAGTGTCCCTAGGGACAAATATTTGGAAGGACGACTTTTTTTTGCTAAATTCGAGTCACTGCAAGGCTATATAACTGCCGCGCATGTGTTTGTAACCAATGTTGAGATTAGGATTGCGGGCTCCGCTGGTCGCCCGCAATTACTAAGAAGTTTAGGGTTAAACTGGTGTTTACTCATTATCCTTTTATCGACCAATGATTACAACTTTGTGTCATATTCCAGATCATCTTCTTCAACAATGTCTTCTTCTCCTTCGTGGCCTTCTTCTAAATTAAAGTTAAAAGGAAAACAAAGTTTAAGAGAAACCACAATAATGCTAATCGAATAAGCTGGAAAACCAATAGTAAAATGGATAGTTATTATCTATTTTGTTGTTTGTTTGAGCAGATAAAAAAAGTTGTGAATAACCTTGTTCTTAGGGAGGTATTTGCTGCATTTCCAGCATTTCAGCTCCTTGCTGATCTAAACACACATAGAAATAAATGAGCGAATAAGCTTCCTGACACAAGAACAAAAGCAAAACGATTTTTTGACGACTTTTATGAGATACATTTTCGAATGAATCAAATGATCTTGATAATTATAAAAACATTGTAATCAACAATGATGTCATTACATACCCTCCTTGTGAAGCTGTTGGCCAATTCCAATTTGATTGTCACCATGCTGCTCTTGCGCATCTTGATCAATGGATAAATACAAGAGTGTAAGACTCGTCTTTCCCCTAAACACGAATCTATAGCTGGTCATTCTACTTAGAAGATAGGCCCTTTCGAGACATGAGTTGGACAATAGGGCAATTAAATACAAACAAAAGTAATCATAGCCATACAAACGCTACGTGATTCTATTTCAGCAAACGGTTAATTAAAAAAAACTAATTCAAAATGCTACTGAAGTTATGTTTTAGTACATTTCCCCATCAAAGTTTTTTGCGCTGTTTTTATGCTCAAAAACAGTTGCGTGTCTTAAGCGCTGAGAACTTCAATTGATATCTACTTGTTTTGGGACAATGAGCGTGCAAATTATAGGTTAAACACCTTGATCTGGGTGTGGCAATACAAGAATCTGCATTTCCATCGCCTCCCCTTCTTGTTGATGTGGGAAAACAAAGATAAAAAACGAACTGGAGGACAACATCATGAAAATAAACTGAATGGAAATGAAAATGATTCCTGAGGAGAATAAATTGACACAAAGTAATTATAATGGTGTTACCTTCTTGTTGCCCGTTATCGTCAATCTCTTGTGGATCTTGTTGTCGTCCTTATCAAAAAAGGCACGAGTAAATAAACGGATTAATACTACTACAATATGATATCTATCTCAAACGTGGTGTTAGTCACAGAAAGAACGTTTTTCTATTAAGACCAACGTTTCCGACTTTAGTCTATGAACTATGTAATAGAGAGAATGGAAAAATGGGCATAACTACCCTCTTGATCTTCACTACAGTAAAAAGTACTCCGTATGAAGCTTCTCAGCATTGCCATTTTGCTTCCTAGATACTCTTGCGCCTGGGGAGGAGAGACAATTATCATCAACGACGTCCATCAACCAACCATTTTCCCTTATCAGTTGTTAGATAGTAACAAGTGCCAACGATCTCGATCGATTGCTCGCTTGACGTCTTTATATTATAATCATCACACTCTTGGTAGTGTGAAGCAACCAGGATCATTCAGGCCAGTACTTGGACGAAGTATAAGCTAAGTTTCCCAGGCAGTATAAAACTACTCGTTTAAACGGCTGAATGGAAACAGTCACTGTTAGAGTGTCTAGCTTAAGAAGCCCCCCTGTCAGTGCGTTAAAGAACCCACCGTGTTAACCGTCAGACCACCGGGTCTACCCTTAAATTATTTAGATTTCAGAGATGATGAGGAAATGTTGTTCTTTACCTTTGGTGTTGCTAATGTGTACAGAATCGGGTTTATCACTGAATTAATGGGCAGAGCAAACACGGCGATCCAAACAGCCAAATCTCCTGTTTGTTTGTAATCCTTCTCCAAAACCGACTTCATACCAAACACAATGATTGGCATCCAGCAGAGACAATCAGTGAAGATAATAAAGGACACTCTCTTGGCCAGACCGGTCTCCCTCCTTGCGTTGGCTGATTGGTTTTTAACTCGCACTCTGCTTATGAATATGGCGAGGTAGGCAACTGTGATGAATATGAAGAGGAAGAAATTGAGGCCAACAAATACAGAAACAGAGTACTCCCAGCCTTCCGTTTTGTGACGAGAGAGCTGTAAGGGAAGGCAGACTACACTTTTTCCGTAATAATTGTGATATGTTGTAAGATCTTCGAAGTATCTCAAGCCAAACATCGGAAAGAAAGCCAGGAGGAAGCCGACGAGCCATATGATGGCGCAAAGGATTTGGGTCATTTTCCGCGAAAGTGCTCCACCTCTGAACAGGAACACAATGTTCTTGAGTCGGTCCGCAGATATCAAAGCCATCAACATCAAGGAGACCTCACTGGATAGCAAAGAGGTAGCACCAATTATTTGGCAAGCCAAGCCAGACCGCCACTTGACGTCATGCAAGTAATACTCTCCTCTCCACAACAGATCTTTGACACCCAGTGTGATTAGGTATGCTCCCATTAAACCATCGGAGACTGCCAAGTGCAATAACATGATTGATTGTACCGTGTTTGTATCCTTAAAGACTGAACGCCATGTGATGACAAACACCGACCCAGCCAGGGAAAGGGAGCCGATTGCCCATATGCTCTTCCTCGGGACTGGGTTCTTGAACATGTTTTCACAGTTGGCAAAGTCGTCGTTATCAATGAAAGCACAGTCAGCGTCCTCCTTGTGCATATGACAACACATCAGGTTTGTGTCCAAACTCCTGCAACCGTAAAATTTGATGCTATTCAGTCCGTAAGGATAGAGTAAAAGAAAAAACCAAAAGCCTATACCCTAAGAGCGCAAAGGTAACGTGAGATCAGTCAATCAGAATTCATTTCCTCATATGGGGGTTTTTGCTACTATGAATCTTCATTGAATATGTTCGGAAATTTTTCTTTTGATATCATAAAACAACGTAGTGTGTAATAGCAGTCTTTGTGAGGCTTGTTACCCAACAAAATGGGGTTGTTATAAAAGTCGTCAATTGGGTTAAGAAAGCCAACCATAGATATTTAGTAAAGTATAGAAACCACTAACTCATTTGCCTGAAGCTCTGTGCTAACAAACATTTGAATTAGCTCTGCTAATAAATTGTAAACGTATCAAATAAATCACATCAAAATCTTACACTCGTAATATATCCTTCAACTCTTAAAAAAATCCGTAGGGAATCTCCCTCATGTGGTTATAATGTAAAAATCTGAAAATGTAGATATTTAAAGAGAAGAGTATAAGGATGAAATCAGTGGATAAAAGAGCATTTCCGGAGTGTTGCTTCAAACTTAGCGTATCGATTTGTCCTTTTTTATTTTCTTGACTGAACCTTTGATGGCAGTCAGTGTCTTTCATAATCTGATTCTCATTTTATCATTTATGAAAATTAAACACTCACAGAATTTTTAACTGTCTGATTTCTCTGAAGTTGTCGATGGAAACGTTCTTCAATTCGTTGTCAAAGAGTTCTCTTACAGAAAAAAAAATTAAAAATACACATAATTTTTGGGCATTGATTTGTGCATCTCAAACTGATAAGTGTGATTATTAGAAGATACTGAGATACCACTTCGATCAAATTAAGCACAAAATGACTTTCATATTCTACTTACAGAATCAGAAGCTGCTTTAAGCCTTTGAAAATTCCTTGTGGCAAATATCTGAGTTTGTTTCCCGACAGATAGCTAATGAAGAAAGAAAGAAAAGAAAATGTATGGCGAACTTCGGAAATTAAAGAACGGGACATCGATAACGTTTTTCATGAGTGGGAGGAAAATTTACAAACACACGCGTGTCCTATGAACTTCGTGATAGACCTAGCTCACCGTGGAGTCTCTGTGGCTCAGTGGCAGAGCATCAAAGCGCGGAATCCGGAGGTCTGAGCTTCGATTCCTCATTGGGACTCACAATTGTTTTTCTTTGTCCCACGCTCGTGACAAGACGAAACTTTATTAACAAGTTGTTACTGAAAATTCATCTACATTATATCTAACCCTAACCGGCCCATAGGCTCTCCGGTAATCTCCTCAGACCTTCCGCATGCATTTATTTTAGGAATTCCAGAAAAAACATAGGGAAGTTATAACACAGAGCCTTTAATTTCCTAAATATGAAAACTTGATCGGGTAAGCGTTTTCCGCAGGAAATTGCGATGAGAAAAAAGTTTGTCAATCAGGTAAAGTCTTATAATCAGCGTAATGAGATATTCTAAGCTTACATGCAGAAACCAGACCCATAGAAAACTCAGATCAGTACATAAACTACTTACAGCTCAGACAGCTTTGCCAGTCCGCGAAATTGTTTTGAATGGAGCTCTTTTAACTTATTTTTCTCCATTTTTCTATTAAATTTTAAAACAGAAACCTGTTAATGACCAACCTTCTTCTTAATTTGAAATTTGAATCGGTGTCAACGTATCTAGCGTGCCTTTTGATTACGATTTCTCCACCCCACGCCAAGGTAACCGCAACAACCAATTAAAAGGAAAAAAAAATGACGGAGGCAATCAGCACTAAAAATAATACAAGCCAGCACATGGCTTTAAGTTTCAGTGATGGTGCATGACCAAGCCGCGCTTGGTTTTAGCTCTGAATCCAATTGATTGAAAAAAGGCGACGCATGTTTTTAGATTATTGATAAGGGTGATGAAAGCAAAACAAGAGCAATCCTCGATTAATTTTGACAATAAATTTAAGTACGTTGATCCATCCTAAACCTCACATAGTTGTAAAATCGTCCAGTTCGAAAGCAATTTAAACATGGTCACAATTCTTTTCCGTACATTAACATTCAGGATCTTTTATAATTTTGTCTTACAGTCTTATCTCCCAAATTGATAAATCAATCAATCGACCGACAACTAATTAAGATCTCAAGATTTCCATCTCTACTCACAATGCCTCAAGCTTGGTTAGCTTAACAAATATCGTTGATGGCAATTCTCCAATTTGGTTTTTGGATAAAAACCTGTAAGGACGAAACAGTAAGCCAGACATTGCCGAATAATAGGTTTTAGTGTCTGGAAGACACCTGTCATTTTCCTTTAGCGGCAAAACAAAATGGTTCCCGTAGCTTATGTTTGCAACTGGTAAGATTGACGGTATTTTTTACAATGCAAACGATAAAGAGATATGTCTTTTGCATTCATTCAGTGTGATACGTTTTGATGAACATGTTAATTCGACCAAGTGGAAAGACATAATTTGATAACATTATTGAAATGAAAACTCAAGTCCAAGTTCAAAACGTCTATCTCTTGCGTTGTTGAATTTAACCCTTTAACGCCCATGCTTGACCAAGAGAGAATTTCTCCTTACAGTGTCAATGCAATATCAAGCAGACAGGAGATGAGAATAAAGAAAAATAGCGATCAGGGGATTTTTAGTCGATCTAATACCAAATTCTCCAAACTAACATCATAAAAATTTATGGCAGATAGTAAGGAGAATCACTGATGAGATCGTAGGAGTGAAAGGGTTAAGACACAAATTGAGAACTTTTCGTAACTCGAGCATGCAGCGGGTCGTCTGCGAGGACCATGTACCACTGGTGTTACTGTGGGGTCAATTTCGATTGAGGAGGTTCCTGGCATGGCTCTAGACGTATTTTGCACACCAGGGTGTTGATCCAACAACTCCTTGAAGTTCACATCTATTTTATGCACTTGCTGGCCTAGGTCGAGGGCTTGACAGTGTTTGCCGGACAGTATTGGTGTCTGCTTGTTATCTATAACATCAAGATAGAAGTTTACATTTAACTCCTTGTTTTTTAAATCGTACTGGAAGGGTGACATAACCCTTTGGTTTGATCTGGTGTTGGCTATGGGAAACCAATGTCTTCTTGGTTTTCTTAATAGGGCATTTGGTGCTATTTGTCTGAGCTGAGTGGTGTTAATCACCCTTGCATAGACACCAGAGTCAAGCTGACAAAACAGGGTGCTATTGCCCACTTCCAGGAATTCACACCATTCATCCTTTTCACTCACGTTCTGATTGTCGTTGATCCCATTTATTTCGAGACTTGCTACATGAAGTAGTTGTAAGATGTAAGTCCCTATTAGGACCTTGCTCATCACTGGAATATTCATCTCCTGAATGGTCCATTTTATCCAACACGTTAACAATGCTTTTCCGACTTCTGCACACTTCGGAAAGCGTCTAATTTTCCTGCACTTATTACACGACTCATTCTTGGCTGGACACTTTTCTCGTGGCTTGTGTGCATTGTATCCAATGTCACATTTCTGAGCCTGCTCATTGTTACCTTTCGGTTTCATGAAACTTTCCTGACTTCAGTTCACGGGTCTTCACCTTACATCACCTTGTGGCCTCAAACATTCGACCGATGCTGACGGTTGTTTCGAGTGTAAGGTTTTTGCTTTTTTCCAGGCAACGTTGTCGTACTCGTTCATCCAGCGACTTACATGCCATGACGTTCCGAATAAACTTATTTGTCTCGGTCATGTCTTGCCCTCAGGCTACGAGTTTGTGGTAATTGACGAAGGAATCAAACGTTTCCCCTTACAGTTGGCGTCTTCGATCGAATTCTTTTTAGCTTCGAGGTGTGCTTTGAATTTTTCGGCAACTCGTTCAAGTATGTCCCTTTCACGAATGTCATGTCTGTTTTCCCCCGATCCAACTTGAACGGTGTTCCACTGAAAAGTGAGGTAAATTTCTCGGCCCTCGTCACCGACAAAGACATATTTTCTCTTTTCCCGTGAATTTGCTGAGCGGTCCTCCGAATGCAAATTGGCAATATTGATAAAATCTCCCACTCTTTACTCAGATCCGAAGCGGCCCAGTTCCACGTTGGCCAGTTGTAGGACGAGTTAGCGTATCCTTCTACCATATCTTTTTTGCTGAGTTTCGTTCGGCTTCGCTCGGAATCCTACTATTTTGACACCATGATACATATGAACACGCAACCGCCATGTTGGATTTAAACAACGCACATGTTTTATTTAATACTGCACCTACAAGTGGTCAGCGGTATACATAACAATTACCATTTTGTAGCCTGATTTTTTTTATTCTTACTCACAGGTGTGTCAATGCTCTTAAATCATCAAACAAACCCTCTTGTAACTCTGTTAGGTCGTTGTCGTTAAGTTGTCTGGAGAGGAGAAGAGTTAAATAAGTGTTACAATTACATTATTGGCAATTTGCTGGAAAAGACCTCATTCGTAGGAACTAACAACTATAGACTTCGAAAGTAATTTATTAAGCTTTAAAGGGACCCTTGCTTTAATTTTCCGACTCAAAACAGTTCCGCACTAGGTTTGGCTTTCGAGATACCTGATCTTGTTAACAAGTTCTTGTCTGTTGTTACATTTAGGTTTTATATAATTGATTGCGGGCTTTCTTATCGGTCTGTGTGCTACGCAGATATTTAAGGGTTGAAGGATGTGATCGATGAAAAGGAATATGCACTATTCGGATAATGATGTGTTTTGTGACACATGTCAGTAATATAATAGTTGATATACGAAGATGACTTTCCACTTACAGCCACTTCAGCTTTATTAGCTGGGAGAATGAATTGCTTGTCAAATGCTTGATCTTGTTGCCGTATAACCAACTGCAAGTGAATGAAGATTTTAGATATATGAAAATTCATATATTTGCACTGCGGTGGAGAGATGAAAATTTAGAGATCCTCGCAGCTAAGAACACTACTGAAACGAGTGGTTGTAAATAGGACCTGAAAAAAATTCAGGTCCGTACGAGATTTGAACCCATGACCTCTGCGATACCGGTGCAGCGCTCTACCAATTGAGCTATCAAGCCAACTAGGAGCTGGTCAATGAATTGGGTCCAAATAAACATCCAAGTGAATGAAGATTTTAGATATATGAAAATTCATATATTTGCACTGCGGTGGAGAGATGAAAATTTAGAGATCCTCGCAGCTAAGAACACTACTGAAACGAGTAGTTGTAAATAGGACCTGAAAAAAATTCAGGTCCGTACGAGATTTGAACCCATGACCTGTGCGATACCGGTGCAGCGCTCTACCAATTGAGCTATCAAGCCAACTGGGAGCTGGTCAATGAATTGGGTCCAAATAAACATCCAAGTGAATGAAGATCTTAGATATATGAAAATTCATATATTTGCACTGCGGTGGAGAGATGAAAATTTAGAGATCCTCGCAGCTAAGAACACTACTGAAACGAGTAGTTGTAAATAGGACCTGAAAAAAATTCAGGTCCGTACGAGATTTGAACCCATGACCTCTGCGATACCGGTGCAGCGCTCTACCAATTGAGCTATCAAGCCAACTAGGAGCTGGTCAATGAATTGGGTCCAAATAAACATCCAAGTGGATGAAGGTTTTAGATATATGAAAATTCATATATTTGCACTGCGGTGGAGAGATGAAATTTAGAGATCCTCGCAGCTAAGAACACTACTGAAACGAGTAGTTGTAAATAGGACCTGAAAAAAATTCAGGTCCGTACGGGATTTGAACCCATGACATCTGCGATACCGGTGCAGCGCTCTACCAATTGAGCTAAAAAACCAACTGGGAGCTGGTCAATGAATTGGGTCCAAATAAACATCCAAGTGAATGAAGGTTTTAGATATATGAAAATTCATATATTTGCACTGCGGTGGAGAGATGAAATTTAGAGATCCTCGCAGCTAAGAACACTACTGAGCGAGTCAAAATCCAATATAAGAGCCACTTGGCGTCTGCTTAATGAGGTACTAAACAGCAAGAAATTGAGACCTAAACCCAACTCTGTGTTTAAGGTTGATGATCAAGATATTTCTGACCCAATGGAGATTGCTAATCGATTTTGTCATTACTTCAGCAATATTGGACCAAACCTCGCTAAACGAATTCAACCTACGACCTCGTATAAGAATTTTCTTCCTGGTCATTTCCCTCAGTCAATGTTCCTAAATTTAGCAACTCAGGAGGAGATTATAGATATCGCATCTACGTTTCCGGCGGGAAAATCGGCTGGGTATGACAATATCCCTATGTCTATCATAAAGCGATCTATATGCAGCGTTTCCTCTCCATTAACACACATTGTAAATCTCTCCATTACTCATGGTATGGTTCCGGATGATTTGAAAATTGCTCGTGTCATACCTATTTTTAAATCAGGTGACAAAGCTCTCTTCAGCAACTACAGACCTATTTCTGTTCTACCGTGCTTTTCAAAGTTTTTGGAACGAATAATTTACAACCGTATTATGAATTATCTCAATGACTCCGATGTCTTATGTGATAATCAATATGGCTTTTTAGAAAAAATCGCTCTCCTAGCCTTGCGCTTATCGATTTGTGTGACAAAATTTCTTCTGCATTTGATAGAAAAGAAC